ACATGATGGGGAAGCTGCATCCATGAAATTCCAATGTGGTTGCCTAAACAAGACCTGTATAACGACAATACCAGTTGAGATGGCAATGTGAATGGGGAGGTGGGGTGGGTTTCGCAAGTCTCCACCCCTAGATGAAGAGCTACAGACAATCAGTGACTGCTAAAAGGAGAATCAGTTTTCTGAGACATGCCTCTTGACAGGTTATCCAATCCCAAGTGATCAGCCTTACAAGTAACACTAAATGAACGCAGAATATATATGGGTGTTATGGGAGGAGTTGGAGGGGGAACAGGGGTGGGAATGAAGTAACTCAGTACTCATGTATGAAATTCTTTAAAAAAAATTAAAATAACAAGGTGGAGCAGGAGAGATGGCTCAGCAGGTAAAGGTGCTTGCTGTGTAAAGCTGATAAACTGAGTTTGATGCTTGGAATCAATGTAACGTTGAAAAGGAGAGAACCAATTCTACAAAGTTGTCTGCTGACTTCACACGTGACACACACCAATAATAATAATAATAATAATAATAATAATAATGTTTAAAAATAAGGTGGAGAGTGACAGAAGATATCAGCCTCCATACACACACACAGGTCTGCACACTCGCACATATACATGCGCCACATACATACAGTCTATGAGCTGTAACGATTTTTGTTTGTTTTTTCAAGACAAGGTTTCTCTGTGTAACTGCCCTGGCTGTCCTGGAACTCAATTTATAGACCAGGCTGGCCTTGAACTCACAGAGATCCACCTACCTCTGCCTCCTTAGTGCTGGGACTAAAGGCGTGTGCCACCATGCCCAGCTAGGATTTTGTTTTTTGGGACAGCATCTTATTGTAGGTCAGGCTGGCTTGGGAACACATTTAGATAACAGGAGCTGGCCTAGAATTTTCAGTAATCTTCCTAGCCCCCCAAATGCTGGGATTATAGGCATAAGACAACAGACCCAGTTGTAACAGGATTTTAAGCACAGGAATCACATAATTAAAACATTTTATTTTATTGCAGTGTTGGGGAGGGAACCCAGGGCCTTATACATGCTAGGTAAGCACTCAACCAAGTCATACACCAGTTGAAAAAATAGTCTGGGTGTGTGGAAAGAACATTCAGTGGGAAGCGGGGAATGAAAACCACTGGAAGTTAACTGTCAAGAACCCAAGAATGCTAGAAGAGCAGCTAAAGTAAGTAAAGTAGAAGCAGAGAGGAGGGGTCCTATTCTGGACTGATTTCAAACTTAAACATGCTAGATTTGCTGAGAGATCAATCATACTTGAGGTATGAAAAAAATAACACCATTGCTGACTCACCAAGTTTCTGGCCTGTGTAGCTGGAAAGATGGAATTGTCATCCACAGACAGGCACAGGAACTAATCTACTAGAAGCAGGCATGGGGCAAGATGAAGAGTTTGATTTTGCCCGTATTACATTTAAGAAGCCTGTTAAGACACCCAAGGAGAGGTGTTCCTCTAGAGCAGAGTTGAGATCAGGTGGTTCATAGCTGTATTACCACGGCTCTGGAGGCTACGATGGGAGGGCTGCTGGGGAGACTGAGGCCAGCTACACCCCTGGGTACCAGTCTGAGCTACTGTGAGACTCAAAACCAGCCAGGTGAATGCACACAATTTCTTGGGAGGTGGAGACAGGAGGATCAGGAATTCAAGGCCATCCTCAGTGACACAGAGTTCTAGGCTATCCTGGGTTACATGAGATGCAGTTTCAAAAATACAGAAAAGCCAGGAAGTAATGGTACATGCCTTTAATCCCAGCACTTAGGAGGCAGAGGCAGGCAGATCTCTATGAGTTTAAGGCCAGCCTGGTCTTTTACAAATCGAGTTCCAGGAGAACCAGGACTGTTACACAGAGATACACGGCCACCTTAAGAAAAAAGTCTACTTAAAAAGAAAAACGAGAAGGGTTGAAGACTAAGTATGAAATTCATAGTGAAATCTACACTGGAGATGTGAATTTGAAGACCAGAACATGTGGCAACTGAAACTAAGCATGTGACTACGTTTTTAATTGTCTTTACTTTTACCAGTGGGATACATTAAGGATATAATGTATGTTACATATACAGATGTACTGTATATACAGTAGTTGAAGCAGGATTTGGACTTGGAAAAAGGAAGAGGTAAGGATATTGCAGTTAGAAGGGACAACTCAAGAAAAATTGTGGAACTGGGAAAGTATGCAGAAGAGGGGTGGGAGGTAAGAGTATTGTACCATTTCGACCTCCTCCAGAAATGTGTGTGTGTTCCTTCATAGCCTCACCAAGATTTTTTTGTCTGGAGCCCTAAGAATCTCCTCTCTTTCCCTGTCTCTCCTCCCAAGGTAGTCGTTGTCTTCCTATGTTGCTCAGGCTAGCCTCAGACTTTTGGGCTCAAGTAATCCTTTGCTTCATTCCAACTTTCCATCCCCTGCCCACGTAGCTGGAGCTATAGGCTATGCCACCATGTTTGACTAAAGCTTTGTTCAAAATGGAGTCCTAAGGGTAGCAGTGTATCTCCATGGTAAGAACACTTGCATATACCATGTGTGAGGCCCTGGGTTCAATCTCAAACACTATATACACAAAACAACAGATTCCTGAGAATGAGAGGGATTCAGAAAGTTGTGGTGTGTGCATTTACTCCTACCTCCAGGTCTGCTATGTGTCAAACTCTGTTCTAGGCAGTGGTGACATAGTAAGAGGCAAGATAGACAAAAGTCCCTTCCATCATGGCTTTTGTTCCAATTCAGGCAACAAGTAATAGAACAACAAATATATAGGCAATAAATATGGAAAAATAGGATTTTCTATGACAGGATGTATTATGGAAAGTAGCACAAGAGCATACAGGGAACATGGCAGGGGAGGGTTGAGAATTTTACATGGGGCAGACATGGTAGATCTCACTATGGAGGTGGTGCTAGAATGCTCAGGTGGCATGTTTCCTTCAGTCTTCCCTTGGTGTTCCTGACCTTGATGCTTTTGAAGATTACTGGCCTTTTTGTTGCTCACCTGTTTGGGTTTGTCTAATGTTCCCTGACACAGGTTTAGGCTCTGTCTTGGATAGGGGGACTCAACCAGGTGATGCTGTGTCTTTCCCATCCAGTCTTTTTGGGAACAGAATTCTAATACACCATAAAGGTGGTACCTGCCAGGTCTCTCTATTGTAAAGTTACTATTTTTCCTCAGTATTAAGTACACTTAGGGGGCTAAAGAGATGGCTCTGTAGTTAAGAGCACTGGCTGCTCTGAAAGAGAACCAAACTTGGTTCCCAGCACCTTCATGGAGGCTCACTGCATTTAGTGCTCCATATTCATGAGTTCATACACAGATTCAACCATGACAGAAAATATTCAGGGGATGGCTGAGAGTATCAAGGAAGGCCCTGGGTTGTTCCCAGAACCAGTAAATAAATAAAAAAAAATTAAGGGAGAAATAATTACATCTGACTTTTTTTCTACATATAAGACTTTTCCTTCCTAATTAATACTGTTTAAGAACTTACAAAATATATATTGTACCAGATACTAAAAATCATACATAGATGATTCTAAGTGTATACAGGTTCTATACAAATATTCTACCATTTTTGTATAAGGAACTTGAGCTGGGCATGGTGCCACATGTCTATAATCTCAGCACTTAGGAGGTAGTAGGAGGAGGATCAGTTCAAACCCAGCCTTGTTTACATATCCAATTTGAAGCTAGCCTGGTTTTGAGATTTGTCTGAAAACAAAACCAAACTTCAGGTAGGAATCCTGGTGTTTTGGCTCAGGTGGTGGTAAAGATAATGGTAGAGAGCAATAGCTATCCCTGAACCAATTTCCTGCAGATAAGTGACACTGTATTTCTACCTTCTTCCTTTTGTTTTGGTGGTCTTTTCCTTATTTCTTGTATAATCTACGTATGACAAATGCCATCCTTGCCTCAACTCTGTTCTACCAACTACCATCACCCAATTGCTTTGATTTCCAAGTTCCATATAAAGGAATCTTCCCGTATGTACCTTTGTGTCTGACTTTTCACCTAGTGGTGTCTGTGAGGTTCATTTGTTGATACTTCTATTAGCATTTTCTTCCCTTTTGTTGTATCTCATTCTACAAATACATCAAACTTATTTGTTTTGTTAGACTTTTGGACTATTCCCAGTTTGGGGCTATTACAAATACAGCTGGCACAAACATGCATATAAGCCTTTTCATTTATGTTGGCTAGATACTTGGGTGTGAAATTGCTAGGTCACAGGGCATGTGCATGTTTTAACTTCACGTGAAGTCAGTTAGCCATACCATTTTACCCTACAGTTGCCGAGGTCTGTGGGTTCCCTGGGGATTCTGGTAATGGTGCTCTAGGGTAGGAAAGAAACACACATGTCAAGTTAGGCTTGTATTCCTAGTCTCATTTTGCAGCTCAGCTGACTGGGGTTTAGAAGGCAATCCCAATTTTATGCTCCACTACATGGAGAACCTCTGCCAATAACATATGCATAACCTGGGAGTCATGGCTGTAGACCATAGAGAGTGAGGTACTGTGTTTATAGATATGGATGAAGGGAACAAGGGTGAACTTGACTGGTGCTCATGAAGACATCCTTGGGCTGAGGACTTACAGGCCAAACTTCCTGTATTCCTTTGGGGTCATCAACATGTTGAGGGTATAGGGACAACCAGGGTTTAAGCATCTGTTGTGTTCTACATATAGATGCCTGAGAACACTGTCCCCAGCTCAGGAATGGCAAATCATTTTAGTCTAGGGACCACAGGCTAAGAGCAGGTGAGGGTTAAGTGAGGACAGGGGACTGGGGATTCCCAGTGCAGGTTCTAAACCACAAACTTCAGTTTCTGACAAGGGCTGGGTCATGACCAGAATCTTGCCAGCTGGAGTGCTGGCTAGAACTCCATGTATTTACAGTCACTATTGCCATCTAGCTTAGTCTAACAGTTATTTATGCATTCTGTGCCTGTGTAATCACAAACCATGCTAGGGCATGAGAAAGTAGAGATGGGAGATGCAGGCTTTTTAGATTTTATTACAAAAGGAACATGATTTGAGCCCAATTTCCCAGCAAAAGTCACCAACTTCAAGTCTAATTTGGTGAGAGCTTCTCTGGCTGGGGAGCAGGCTGGTAGACAGAAGAGCCTCCCTCAGACCACTTCACACCTCATCTTCTCTGTCCCTGGATGGACACCCCACGCCTGTAGAAACTGCTTTCAAAGTTGTTCACTGGGCCTCATTGAAGCGGGTCACCATTGTCTTGTGCAGTGTCTCCTTGTAGGATTCTGTTGAGGTGACCCCATAAGAACTGCCCCGGGCACCCAGGCCAGAACCTCGAACCCGTGTTTGGGCCTGTGTAAGAGAGGCAGGTTTTATCAGGCTGGTAGAGGTACACTGCGAGTGTTGGGAACAAGAATGGGTCATAGACTCACCTCGATGGGTGTCACAATGCCCTGTTTCTTGCGACCTAGACCACTGCCTTCTTTCCAGCCCATGGCCTGGAGCATGCGACTGCCAATGTTGTCACTGCCTAATCCATCCCGAGTGGGCTGTTCAAAGTCACTGCAGGTGACAGTGTACAGTGTGAGTGTTGTGCCAGCCCAGAGCCCCTCACCTGGTACCTGGCCCTGCACTCACACAGAGGCTGTAGATATGCCACCGTATTTCCTCCTTTTGGGCTCTGGTGGCTCCGGGATACCATACTTCTCCCTGCGTTCAGCTGCACGGTCTCGGTACTTCATTTGCTACGAATTAGTGCATGTGAAGATGTTGGAATTGGCTGTTATTTTCAGCAAACACAGGCATGGATAGGGTTGCGGGGTAGGCATATAGGTCTCTCTGTCTGGCCTGGTCTTAGGTCCTGAAGGTCAGGACATGATGGAATGGGAATTGAGAAGAAGTCTCAGAGCAATAGGATAACACATGGCTGCCAAGCTGTATGTACCTGGCTAAGGAACTTTAAGTCCCACTGCTTGGAGTGACAGGGACTTGGAAGGGGCAGATGGAATGGAGCCAAGGAGTGGGTCACACCTTACCTCCATGTCATTCTTTTCTAGTGCTTCCAATTCGTTTTCTGACAAGTGGGCTCGCCGATGAATCTCAAGGTTTTGCTGTAAAAGGGGACAGGAGAGTAAAGCAATTGGGCTGGAATGGGCTAGACACAGGATAACCTGCCGACTCTCTGCTCAATTACCTTGTGGAGCCCAGAGAGCTGCTGGTGCCGGATGAGTGCCTCCTTGCTGGGAAACTGGCGGCGGCAGAGCAGACAGGCTAGCTTCTGCCAGTCTGTGAGCTTTTCTTCCCGCTCAGGACCTCCTCGCTCCTGCTCCTCCTCACTGTCACTCTCCCCGCTGTAGGCTGCCACCAGACCTCGAGGTGGACTCTGTAGAAGTTGAGGGTGGACAGTCAGTCAGCTCTGCTGAGATCAGAGACCCCTGCCCCTTTTTGCTCTGACAACTCACTGGGCGGTCATCACTGGCCAACTTTGGGAGATCCATGCTGGTGTGCTGTCTTTCAGCTAGTGCTCCCTGAGATAGAGGACACAGAAATTCAGGGCTCCACAGAGGACCCTAAGGAGTGATGAGATTGTAGGTAGGGTGCAGATGGACAGTTACAACACACCTTCTTCTCAAGGATGGCATAGCCTGCATCTGCAGTGGCCGATTCCCGCCTTTCATCATCTCGTAGGGCACTAATAGGCTGGAAGCTGTTTTTGAAGTTTTCTTTTTGCTTGTTGAGACTACGGGCCCACCGCTCCATGTCCTTGGCAATCTGGGGGGTCGGGTGGGTAGAGGTTAAAGTTGCCAGAATTCCTCAAACTTGGGACTCTATTCTCTCACCCATGACCCTTGCAACAGCAGCCCTGTAGCCTCAAATCTGTTACCTTTCTTATCTGAACCACTGTGTTCAGTGGCTGTGTATACCTGGCTTCTTGACTATAGCTCTTGGACCTCATCCTTGTAGAACATTCCTTTACAAACCATAAACCATATCCAAATACCTCTACCTCCTCCAAACCATCTTATTAAAAACAAACTCAAGGCTGGGCGGTGGTGGCACAGGCCTTTAATCCCAGCACTCGGGAGGTAGAGCCAGGCGGATCTCAGTGAGTTCGAGGCCAGCCTGGTGTACAGAGCAAGATCCAGGACAGGCACCAAAACTACACGGAGAAAACCCTGTCTTGAAAAACCTAAACAAACAAACAAAAACTCAAACTCATGCCTAGGAACCCTCCCCTCTACTGGCCCCATTTCCAAACATTTTCCTGTCTCCCAACTGTTCTATATGGTCTGCAAAGGCAAAGGCAGCAGCAGAAGTAGAGTGGGCAAGGAAGGCAGAGCAAGCAGAAGGTCAGAAGGGCAGTGAAGCAGTGTTGCTGGTACAAGAACCTACTTTCTGTATTGGCCAGGGATCCTTTTCAAGCCCTTCTCTGGCTACAACCCCAACCTTTTCTTTCTTTTTGGGCACATTTATTTCTCTGAGTAGCCCTGGCCGGCCTGGAACTCACTCTGTAGATCAGGCAGGCCTTGGAGATCCATCTGCCTCTGCCTCCCAAGTGCTGGGATTAAAGGCCACTTCTACCTGGCTGCAACCCCAATTTCTGATTGGCACTTGTATTACTATTTGTTCTTTCATTTTTACTTTCTAAATGCAGAGAGCTACATACTTGTGTACTATGAGGGCGGGTACTGGGCTTTGCAACATACTAGACAAGCACTCTTTCCGCTAAGCCACACCCCTAGCCTTGTATATAATTTTAATTTATGTGTGATGCCCTGGTTGGTTTTTGTCAACATGATACAAACCTAGACATAGCTGGAAAGAGGGACTCTCAATTAAGAAATTGCTTCCAACAGATTGGCCTGTTGGTAAGTCTGTGGGGCATTTTCTTAATTACTGACCAACATGGTAGGACCCAGCTCACTATGGACAGCATCACTCCCTAGGCAGGTGGTCCTGGGTTGTATAAGAAAGCAGACTGAGCAAGCCATGGACAGCAAGCCAGTAAGCAGCACTCCTTGATGGTCTCTGCATCAGCTTCTGCTTCCAGGTTCTTTCCTTGACTTCCTTTCATGATAAAAAACCCTCTTATGCCCACATTGCTTTTGGTCAGTGTTTATCATAGCAACAGAAACCTAAGACATGTGAAATGGTGTCATATTTAATGTTTTGTGTTTTTCCCAGGACATGAACCATTTTCATAATTCGTCAGGTTGCTGAGGGAGTATTTATTGCTTGCTTCTAAGTGCTGTGCTTCAATGTCATACCTTCTCTCCACAGAGCCACTGAGGTTCCCTCTAACTGCTCTCTACTTGAGTGAACTTTTTGGAGCCCACTACTTATGATGGGACACCTTGTGCAGCCTTGAGGCAAGGGAAGGGCTTGGAATTGCCTCTCTCAATTGTGCCTCCCCATGGGAGGCCTTGCCTTCTTGTGGGTGGGAGTGAGGATGGGTTGGGAGGAGGGAAGAGGGGGATCTTTGGTGTGTAAAATGAATGAAAAAATTTCTTAATAAAAAAAGGGGGAAAATGGATATTTTCTTTTTCTTGACTGTAACAATCATTGCACTATATATGTGTGTGTGTGTATAAAATTTACGTTTTGCCTCTTAATCATTTATAGTGGAAAATAAAATTATAAACAATAAACAGTATATACGGATTTAAAAAAAAGTAAAAGAAAACCCTGCAGTATTTCTTTTCTTAATCAACTTCTTATGGGCCTATGAGAATTTATCTGGGATCAATAGACATCCACTAGCAGCATGAAGGTTCCCTTCGTGGGACAGAGAAAAGCTTCCAGAGCTCACTCAGATGGCACAAGTCACTTCATGGTGGTAGGTGGTCCTGCTACGGTCCCCCAAAAAATTGATCTGGCTCAAATGTCTGAAGCAGTTACTACTACTGTCCATGCACACCCACTACCCTACTTTCCCATAGCAGGAGAGGGCAAGGGGTGACAGAACATAGACTCCAAACAGCCAGATGATGGCTGGAGGGTCACCTGTTGGGCTGTCTTTGTCTTATGCTTCTCTTTCTTCTCTTTTCCCTCCTTTGATGATGCCCCCGTCTCCTTATGTCCATCAGCAGACTGCTCCAAGGCAGGTATGTAGGTCCGCCGCTCCCCATCCCAGTATAGGTACTGTTGGCTCTGAGCATTGTAGTAATACTGAGGAAGAGAATGGAAAGGGGGGGCATGAGGGGGGCCCTCTAGGGCTAGCTGCTACACAACCACAGTCCAGTTTTTCCTAGGCTACTCTGTCACCTACCTGGGAGTTGGGGTCATAGTACAGACCAGTCTGGGGGTCATAGTAGTAGCCAGATGTCTCATCATATTGGTAAGTGGAGACATCAGGGACAGCTGTAGGGAGGAAAGGCAAGGTTGTCAAATTCTTCCCTGCTTAGAGAAGAAGTCCATACCCTTACCCATAGGCTACTCACGGTACTGGCTGTAGGACTCTGGGACAGTGGGACTGGTAGCTGGTGGTAAGGCAGAGCTGGGATGAGTAGGGCTCTGGAGCTCAGACTTGAGCACAGCAGGTGACATGATGGTATATGACTGCTCATGGGTCACACAAAGGAACAGGACTCAGTGTTTATTAATACCCCCCTGCCCACTCAGGATGCATCTGCCAGCCCACCAGCCTCCCCAGAGTACCAATGTCACCCTCACCTGGCTGTTGGAAGCTGTGCCCTGGCCACTGCTTCCCTCAGCTGATTGCTGATAGAGCCCAGGGGCAGCACCAGGCTGGGCTCGGGAGAAAGCCTGCAGTGACACAGAGTCTGCCCCAGCCTCAAGGGAGGCCTCAGGACCTGAAAGGAAAACCAAGGAGAATGCCCATGAATGTCAGAGCATTCTGACATAAGACAGTAGGCCTCTAGGCCCCACAATTAGGCTCTGCAAGAGAGAATGAGGCTCACCTGCTCCAGCTGGGTCCGCTTTGGTCCCAGTCATGCCAGGGCCCTTGGTGTTCTTAAGGTAGCCATGGGCATAGAGGGAATCTGTGCCCTGGCTGCTGCCATAGCCCTCATCCTGTTGATAGTAGCTGTAGTCGACCGGTGGCTCCTCAGGGGCAGCCCAGGCACTCTCTCCACCCTGGGAGGCCTGAGGGGCAGGTGGGAGATCATTAGAACAGAAGGGGACATAAGGGAAGAGATCTGCTACAAGCATCTGTCCTACATGTGGAGCTAGCATTTGACAGAAAAACATGTAGTCTTAAGGTAAGTAAAAAGCAAGGGATCCTGACCGACCACAAGATATCAGCGGAGGAAAAACAGACTAGAAAAAGAATACATGCCCAAATGCTCCCCTGCCCTGAGCTGATACTGATGATGTACATGTGTTAGGCCTAAGACCAGGCAAGATACCCCCAATCTCTTTTTTACTATTTTCTCCCTCCCCCCATGACTATGTAGCCCATGCTGGCCTGGAACATGTAGCAATCCTCTTGCCTTTGCCCCCACTGCCCACATCAGTGCTAGGATTACAGGTATGCATCATACCTTGCTATCCTCCTAGTCTTTATTCTCTTCTACCAAAATTTTCACTTCCCTTTCCTTTTTCTAGTCAAAGACTGGCCTTCAACATCTGATCCTCTTGCTTCCACCTCAGAAGAGCTGTGATTACAGCTGTTTACCACCACACTTGCCTCCCCAAATTTTTTAGATACTTATTAAGTTCCTTTTTATTCATAGCATGCACACTTACATAAACAATGCAACACACACACACACACACACACACACACACACACACACACACACACACACACACACACACACATGCCATTTCAGGACAATTAAAAAAAAGTTCTAACCAACAGCATAGAGCACCAACCCAAAGACTGTTGTCAAGAAATGTACAGGAGATAGTGATGGAGAGAAGGCTCAGCAGGTAACAGCACTTGTTGCTCTTGCAAAGGACCCAGGTTCAGTTCCCAGCACCCACATGGTTGTTCATAGCCATTCAAAATTCTAGGTCCAGGTGATCAGACACCTTCTGACCTCTGCAGACACTGGGCACACACATGGTGCACATACATAGGTACAGGCAAAACACTTATACACATAAAAATAACGTTTGAAAAAACACCTTAAAAAAGAAAAAAGCCCCAAAAGTGACTGGGAAGGATATAGGATGGAGTAGGAATGGATCACTGTCTACAGAGGCAGGAGCAAAGTGGAAGGCCTACAACACCTGTTATAACAGGGCATAACATTTTGATAACAAGCCAATTTTGCTGTTTGCAGAAAGAGGACAGAAGGGTTATGAAAGTCAGGTGCCAGGGTGATGGGGCAGAGAAGGCTAAGTACCTGTGAGATTGCCCACTGGGCAGCAGCAATGGCAGTGCTGGCCACAGAGGCAGCATTGATGCGACTGCCTTCATTGGAGGCCATATCCCTGGGGAGGATAGTAGAAACTGGAAATGAAACGGGGAGCCCCAAGGTGGTGGTGGGGGATAAGCTGTAAGGGGGCTTAGGTGGGGCTCTGACCTCTTAGAACCCTTGGCAAACTCCACGTTGATGGTCTTGCCATCGATGGTGAGCGGAGGGTGCAGGGCCTGCAGGATCTGCAGCAGCTGGGCTGCCTCCTATGGGTGGACCAAAGGGTCAGGCCCGGGGAGGCCCCCCGGCTCCATTGCCCCATTTCTAGATTGGTACCGCGGTGAGGGTGGGGTAAAGGACCCTCCTCCCTACCCTGGGGGCCGGGACCATAGCTGCCCGGCCCCCCCCTGTGCCGCCCTCACCACGATGGTGGAGAGCTGGATGAAGGCGAAGCCTCGGTTCAGCTGGGTCTGCTTGTCCTTTATAACACGCACGTTGGAGGAGGACAGCACTGCATAGGGTGCTAGGGCCCCCAGGATGGAGTCCATGGTGCTGTGTGGGTTCAGGTTGCGCAAAATAATGGCTGCAGGAAAGGGCCCAGTGTTAGGATGCACCTCTCACAGTCTGCTCAGGGACCCAAGTTGCCTCTATGCTCATGTACCTTCTGCTTCCTCTCACCTCTTCCTCTCGCATAAATTCTGCTTGTCAGTCCACGTGCCAGCTCTGCCTCTCATACATCCCCAAAATGTTTGTGGACAGTCCCTCCCTTGCTCTCTCTGTATCATGTGTTTATTCCCCACACCAGGTAGAAACATTCCCCCCAATAAGGACAAGTTTTGTTCATTACCATTTCTCTGGTTTCAGAGGTCCCAGACCAGATGCCCTAGGGCATAGAGGAAGGAGGAAAGAACAACTGACTCACTGTCATTGGCGTTCTCGGAGCTTGGCTCTGAACCCTGTGACAGGGCTTGGGAGGTCAGTACTCCCTGGGCCTGGTAGGGTTGCGGCAGTGGGAGTAGGCCCTGGCTTAGTTCCCGCCCGCCCAGCGGCAGTGCCTGCTGATCCAGCCGGGTGCCAAGGGGCAGCTTCTGCTCTGCCTCTGTTGGGGATGGTGGGAGATAGGCTGGTGACGAAGGTGGAAGCTCCATGGCTGGTCACACTCCCCACCCCTCCACACTGGCCCTTCATGCCTCTTGCCATTCCCAGTTAGTACGGCTCACCTGATTTGGGCACACCACATTTGAAGCACTTCTCACGCCGTTTGAAGTTCTGGACACCACACTGTGAGGCACAGGCCAGGTGGTCAGGGCTTTCCATGATATCCTCCAAATATGGGCCCACAGAACAACATAATAATCCCCAGGAAGGGAGCTTTTGGGGTCGGGGTGGCAGCAGTCTTCTGGAACTTTCATTATTATTTTCAATCCTGTGAATCTTCTCTGACAACTGGTTCCTAGCACCAGTCCTCTTATTTCAGCAATCAGCAACTCTCACATGTTACAGCAGTTGCTTCCCCTCCCCATCTTGTTGAGACTATCAAATCTCAGGATTGTATCCCATGATCCTTCTTCCTGAGATTTGCTTACATAACAGAAACTTGCACTGTTTCCCACTAGAAGATTTTGGTCAGATCCTTTCCATTCCTTCTTGCTAGGACTAGGTTGAATAAAACTACTTTTGATCTTTTTCCCTTGGATATTCCAGCTACCAAAGACCTTGTCCAGCTTCCATCACATTCTATCCCTGTTCCAGTGAGGTACTAAGCAGTGTGCCTGTGTTAGGCCCTACACCATGTGATCAGGACAGTCTGCTTAGACTGTGCTGTCAGGGGTTAGGAGCAGAGAATGGGTTGTGAGGCTCACAGCTCACTGGGCTGGGCGACACAGAAGCAAGGAGGTTCAATCTGGGAAGCCCAGAGGTTTAGTTTTGCTGGGAAGGGATCTTAGTAGAGGGACAAAGAGGCTTTCTACAGCTGGTGGAGGGGAACATGCAGAGATGAACACCAAGGCTGGCAAGGGAAGACGGTGACAGTAAAAGGAGGACCCCCTGCTAAAACTGGATGTTCTCAGCGTTGTAGACAGGGAAGGGAGGGCATGCTCAGAGCTGGGTTGCAATGCAACACCACAGGTGAGGGTGGAGAAAAAGGGATGAGGCTAGTGTAACGAGGAGGGCTCCGTGGGAACTGGATGGGAGGGTGCAGGAACTGGCATGAACTGTGAGAATGACAAAGAAGGGAAGGTGGCTATTCTGAGATGGAAGTGACAGGATCTGGTAACCAAAAGACATGTGGGACCCAAAGGAGAGGAAGAAGAAAATATGAAAAAAGATGAAGATCCACTGTCACTTTGTCCCTCTCTTTCCAGAGGTTGAACACCTCCCCTGTATAAAGGTGACAGCTACCACTCTCCCACTAACCAGACTGCTTCTCAGGGAGAAGACAGGGTGCTCCACTAGCTCTCAGCCTTACTATTAGATTTTGGGACTACCAGATAGCCCTGGTAGATGAGGCTGTAGAATCACAAAGCTGGCCTCAGGGCAGACCTAAAGCCACTTAGGGAACAGGAGGTGGCCCTGTGAGCTAAAGGCTCAAGTATGGTTCCACCTTTCTGAGCCTCAGCTTCCTCCTAGGGAATATGGTGGTGATCACACAACCTACAGGGTGGACCTTCAAGGCTTAATAGTGACATGGCTGTATCAGGGTAGTCTTTAAGGCTGAGTTACCCTCAGAACACTCTGTGCTTCTTTTCAAAGGTAATAAGAGCTACTTAAGAGTTGAATGTGGGCCAGAAGTCCTTTTCTATGTTGCTCTCCCATCCATAGTTTCATTCTCTCAACAACTTAGTACTCACTCTCACCTCTTAAAGATGAGGAAAAGTGATGTACAGATAGGATAAGCACCTTGACCACCATCAAGACAGACCTGAGACAGTCTGCAAGCAGCCTGGCTCTGAAGCCCATGGTCTACACACTGTAGTAGGCTTATGTTGTCATGGATTAGTCACTTATGCTATTATTTCTTTTAAGTCTACTAGGCCTTTAGGCCAGGCTGTGTTTGATGAGGGCAGAACCTTGCTGACTGGGGCTAGACAGCCTGTTTCCAAGACCACACTTCCTCTCACAGGCTCTGAGAGAGTGAGTTGCTGCTGCTCCTGCTAGGGCAGACTCTCCCCAGCACCAGCTGCCCACCCAGCCCTGTACCTTATTACACAGCCAGTCCTCATTGATCTTGGGCTTGGGGTCGCTGTAATGCATGGATACCTTCTGGCCCAGGATGTTGAGGGAATGCTGTGGGAAAAAGCAGAGCACAGTGAGGCCTAGGTAGCAGTGCCCCACGCACCGTTTCAGCAAAGGAGAAGAGAGTGAGCGAGCCCTTCAGCTGGATGGATGAGGGACAGGGAATGAAGGGAGTTTGGAGAACTGATGGAGGGAAGAAGGAACGGAGGGAGGGAGGGAAGGAAAGCACCACAGCTCTCAGGGCACAGCTGCTTACTGCTTACACACCTCTCTCTCTCTCTCTCTCTCTCTCTCTCTCTCTCTCTCTCTCTCTCTCTCTCTCTCTCTCTCTCTCACTATCAGGCACATAGTGCTTGGTTGACCAACGACTGCCGAGTTGGGAGTGCTCCCCCAGCTTGGTCCTGACAGTGCCAGGCCACACCCAGGGCCAGCACTACACAGGCTACACTGGGAACGAGGGGAGATGGGCAGGGAAGAGAGAGGAGGGGAGAGAAAAAGAGAAAGAGCGCACGAGCGCTAATGCTGGAAAAGGGGAAAAAGAAAGCCAATTTAACAGATGGAGGTTTCCCGCCATGAGGCCACCTTCCCAAAGTTGGCAGGGTCCTGGGCCCACCGCACTAGCCTACTGACCCGACCCACAGAGCAGGCCACAGGGTTGCCTCTGCCAGGACCCTCCACTTCACCACGGCTGCCCCTTCCTCCCCTGACACTTCTCTCCAGTGCTCTACATCAGTGATAGGCTAGGGCTGGGTAGCCAGGTTAGACCCTTGAGTCTTGGAAGGTCCCAACACAGTTGAGTTGGGATCCAGTGCCAGGCTAGGGGAGCCAGCTCCCTCCGTTGCAGACAGAGCACAGTTCCTTATTGAGAAGGTAGAGGTGGGGCCTCCTGTGGGTGGGGAGGGTGCTGTGAATGGGAGGGACCAGTGAATTGAGCCCAGCGTGTCAATAAAACTATCACACTTGACTGGAACTTTCAACCAAAAGCAGTGCTGTCCCTCTGCATGGAACTCAGAGGGCCAAATTCACATGCAGGAGAGAGCTAGCAAAACAAGTCTTGCTAGTTTGTGTGCCAACATCTATGTTCCCCAGTGGCAGGATTTCAGTGGTCCTGAGAGCACAACCAAGTTCTGGCTCTGCTGACTCGGGAGCAGAAGGGTCCCACCAGGGTGTGGGAAGCTATGGGAAGGAACCCACCCTGGCAGCTCTTTCTCTGAAAGCTCAGCCAGGAGAGGTGAGGGAGCGCTAGTGCCTGGCAGTAGGATGGGGCCAGGGGACGGTGTTGAGAGTGGGCCCCAGATGGGAAGCCCAGTGGGTAGTGAGAGATGGGAAGAGGAAATAGTGGGGGTCAGGAGGGGGGAGAAAGAGGGCAGGGGTATGGGACACAGGGCCACAGGGCAGGGAACTGTGTCCATAAGATTCAGGCGATGGGGAGCGTTCGATTATAAAGTAGTATTTGTTTGGGGGGGGGTTCAAGTGCGGCAAAGCAACCTGATTGGCTTCCATCCATCGTGTAGCGTCCTGCAAGTGACTAAACTCGACGAAGGCGAAGCCCCGGCTCTGACCTGGAGACAGCATTCAGATACAGACGCAGTGGGTTAGTCAACAGCTTTGGACACACGGCGTTCCCGGGGGCAGAACCCGAGGGGAGAGGACCAGGGGCAGAGAGGGAAAGGGGAAGAGGAGAAAGGAAGAGAAAAAGTGATCGGAGAGAGAAAGAACAGGGAAGATAGGAGTCAAGGTAGATGGCTGGGGAGGGCAGGAAGGAGGGAAAAGGGAAGGGAAGAAAATAAGAATAGGAGAGTCAGATCAGGATAGGAAACATATATCCCAACTGTGCAGTGAAATGGGAGGAGGCTCAGGCAGACTTGCCTAGCCAGCTTGGGGTGACAGATGGAGAACTAAGAGGGAAGGGATACATGGAGAGATGTGTCTCTAGAAGAGGAGGTTGCTTTGACGCCATATAGGCCAAAGCAAATAGCTCATGGGCAAGCCTAGAGCAAGGCCAGGAGGATTACTGGAACAGGTGTTTAATCAAAAGAGCAAAAGAGAAGCCAGGCTAAGTTGGTCTGTGAGGCTATTTTGGGGGAGAAGGGTGTTCCTGGCCAGTACATAGGAAACCAGGGGGTGATTAGGAACACAATCTCATCTTAACCTTAGTGTAGGTAAAGGGGGGGATAGTCGCTAGGGAGCCACATCAGGGCCACAGTGGGAAGACTATAACCACTGACAGTCAAGATTCTCCTAAACAGGCAGATGGTGGCTGGAGCTGGCCAAGAGGACGTTACAGGTAAGAATCAGCAGGTGCCTAGGAGAAATGTCCAAAGCCACTGAGAGGCCATACCTGGGATGCCTCCTTAGGGAAAGAAACACAGATTCTGTCAGTGAATGGTACAGCTAGAGTAAAACAGAGCAAGACCTACATGTCACTGAGACAGACTCCAGGCCTGGCCAGGGCCTTGGGGCTTACAGTTCTGGGAAAGTAACTCCTTCAGAGGTAATGATGAAAGGAGGCTTTGAATGTGGTGGGTCTAGAGGGCATGCTTGATCTCCAAAAGAATCGCCATCAGGATGCATGGGAGGATGGAATAGTATACGGGGGTGGGCAAAGGAAGATGGAGATGGGGAGGAGGTGTAAGGAGGAGAGAGACTGAGATGGAAAGAGAAGCCCAGGCAGAGGTTCTGCAGAGACAACTCCACCCACCCTGCTAAAACCTCAGGCCAGCTCCAAGCAGCCTGCAAGAGGGAGGGAGGGAAGGAACAGGTGAGGCCAGAAAGTTCTGGCTGCTCTTTAGGATATACTTTCGATGAGAGCCATCCCTTGCCTCCCCTCTTGGGACATATGGGTGGGTCCATGTGAGACCTACTTTTGGTTAGAGGCTGTCAAAGTGATGTGAAGGAGACCAAGGGGCAGAGGAAGGAGAAGGAAGTATATGTATTTGCAAGGGTCACCGCCTCAGATACTCAGAGTCCCAAAGAAGAGGTTTTCCAGAGCCTGGCTCTGGCCTTGCCCCCGGGGAATAGTCAGCTCAGCCCAGAGCTGCATCCCCTTCAGGACGGCCCCCCTGTAGAGGCTGCTGGCTGGAGCTGTGAGAGTAGGGGATGGGAGAGAAAAAGAGGGTACCCCCCCCCAAGCTGCCCATTCCCAGCTATGGCAGGAAGGGGAGTAGGGAGGGGAAGAGGGAGGGGAAGGCAGAGGCAGAAGGGAGATTTGGAGGCTGAGGCTGGCCAGCAGAAGGGGAGGGCACTGGGAACGAAAGCTCACCTGAGGATTTGTTCCGCATCAGCCGGACCTCCCGTGCTTGAACACCATGGGACTGCAGCTGGCCACGGATCTGTTCAGGAAATAAAGAAGTGGGATAGGTTTAGCAAAGAAAGCAGCTAAGTATATGAGGTCAAAACACGCACGCGCACGCACACACACACACACACACACACACACACACACACACACACACACACACACACCCTCCTCTGCCTCTTTCAAAAGTTTCCCCCAGTAACAACAACTGCAACCCACACTAGTAGTACTCAGTCTTGCTTCCAGCCCTGGACTTGCAGAAAGTGAGTCAAACAAAAACAGCAGAAACATAGTACAGGGTAAAGGATGGCAGCAAGATGATCCCCAGGGGCACAAAGACAACAGGAGAGCAAGTGGGGCAGCAAGTCAGGAATGGTGGGCAGGGTGATCTGACAAAAGGCTTAGTAGTAGCCACGGAGCATAGAAGCTGGAATGCAATTCTTGTCCATCATAAAGGAATTACTCCCTTTCCTTGACTTGCACCAAAGGCTACCTATGACACAGAGAAGTACAGAGCCATTTCAGCCATGTGAGGAGGAGAAACTTAAGACAAAAAGGCATGGTGGTTGATCTGGAAAGCTTTCTCAGTGAAATGAACCTGAGGGATACTACAGAGGCAACTTAGGACCCCAGGTGAAGCAGTCTCTAGACTGGCAGTACCTCTTTTTGTGGATGGGGAGTTTATGCCAGATACTTAGTGGGGAGAACAACCTGTGCTTTTGGGTACCAGCCCCTCATCAGGGTAATGGACAAGAAATTAAGCCTCATGCACATAGGTATGCAGGAAGATGAAAAGTAAAGATACACAGATCTTATCAAGACTCATATCAGGGAAGGCTTAGAAAATAACAAGAACATGAGCTCTGGGGTCCAGCAGTCCAGGTTTAGATCCCAACTCTACTCTGCCACCTGCTGGAACATGAAGCAAGTCACTTTGCTGATTGGGTTGGGGCTATGTGGGACTGACTATAACTTGTACCTTCTAGAAAGAGCCTGGCACATGGCCTAACCTACCATAAAACCTCAGGTAAAAATGTCAGCAATCAGCTTGATCCTAGAAGGATTTCTTTGGTGGGATTACTACTGTCACAAAATAGGCAGCTGGCAGGCTTTCAGGGAAGTACTGCTCAGAGAACTGACTGGGGCTCAAGGGGTTCAAGGATCAGGGAGGCTAGTCAAAACTCTAGCAATATACTCTTGGATTTCGAATGTGGCTTGCCATAAGACATCCGCATGAGAAGAAATGAGTGAAGAGAGGAAGATGGAAGGCAGAGAATGTCACAAAGGCAAACAGGGTCAAGAAGTTATCAAAAGCCACCTATGGGTAGCTGTGGCCAGGCTGTCACTGCTGACAAAAGGGAGGAATATAGAATTTCAGAAAAGCCCATGGGCCCTAACATCTCACTCTCATGGGTCTCTGCCACAAGAATATCTAACATTGGGCCTGGCCCTCTATTCACATATACGAAAAGGGTGAAAGCCAATGGAATGTGCAGGAGGGATGCTCTTCTCTCATACCCACCAGCACCAGACACCCACAGCTACTGCCCCTAGACTAAGCCAGCCTGTCTGCTGCCTTCACCCTGCCAGACCAGGAGCTGATGGGGCCCATCCCAGAGGATGGATAGTACCGGGGGACAGGAGCTGGTGGGAGAGAAGAGAGGGAAGGTGCTGTGGTTGGTTGCAAAGGATGGTGGAGAAAAGCTGAGGGCCCTGAAGAAGACCCAGCCTGGCCTCCTGCTCTGCCACCTGCCCAGAGCCATTGGGGGGGCACGTACATCATCCTCAGTGGCTGCCTGTGGCAGCATCCTCAGCATGACGATGTTACTGGCCTTCTCCTCCTCCTCCTCCTCATCCTCCTCCTCATCCTCCTCCTCCTCCCCTTGCTCGGTCCGATAGTCCTGGTCCCGATAGTCGCCGTCTCTGGGGAAGCCTGGCGGGCCAGTGGGACTGTGCCTGTGCCGCCGCCGCCGCCTACGCTGAGTCTCGGAGCCCGGGGAGGCCTCGTAGGAATCCTGGCCGACAGAATAAGATGAGAGACACCAGACGGGCAGTCAGTCTGGGTGGGCCTAGGGGCTGGCCAATGGCTCTCTGAGACAGGCAGGCTCTGAAAGCCAGGGGTGGGCAGGCGGGCTCCGGTTAAAGGCTCAGGCAGGCAGGGTGGGTAGGCCTTGGACTGTGGCCTTTTTAAGGCTGCAAATGTTCCACAGGATACTTTGGGGAACTGCCTTCAAAGAATGGCAGTATTGGTGTGGAGGAGGAACTCCCAAAGGCAGGCTGACAAAAAACACAGCTTAAGCCTCCTTGGGATAAACTAGCCTGAGTTCAGCAAACTAGACTTTGCCTTCAATTTCTTCCCTTTTCTTCCTTTGCCAGCTCAGCTGGTATGTGTACAATTGTTTACTGTGCCATTGAAAAACACCTGTCTCCTATAGTTCCCAGCCTAAGATTAGGCCCTGGAACCAAGCCAGCAGTTTTAGGAACAGTTTCAGATATGGGTCAGAGGCAGCCAGCAGAAGTTGGTGGGCTACTATGCTTCCCCTTGGTCCTTGTTCCTCAGCCCTAACAAAGTCTCTGTTCACTATCAGTTTCTTTCACAGTACAGTGCAGTTGCTGATTCTTAACTGTTGTCAATCTACTAATTTCAATACTAAGCAGCTCAGGCCTAAGCCTAGAGCCTCCTACCTGCACAGGACAGGTCCAGACAATTCAATGCTGTATTCTATACTTGTCAATGATCTCTTCCCAGGGTCCACTGTATCCATGGAAACATTAAGAGTCACTGCTCAAGAGCAGGCAATGGAGAAGCCTGGATGCCTATAGGCCCTGGCTAACCAAACAAAGCTGGTGGTCCACCAAGGGAATCTTCAAATAGCCCCCCGCCCAGAGGGTAGAGGATAGTTCAAATACAATTCCTCCCCAGGGCTGGGCTTACAAGTGTAACCTTTCCATCCTACTAGACAGAGAGCTGCCTGTCTACCTGCTTGTTATCAGGTCTTTGACTGGTCCCCTCAGACTGGAGTTCTCTAAAGCAAGGGTGTTTCTAGCCCTCAGACGTGGGCTTTCTCATGGCAAGCATCGTGCCTCACCCTTTAGGCTAGAGGACTAGTCCCACCTGGAACTGGCTTCCCCAGAGGACCTTTCCTTCCCTTCTGTCTACAAGTTTTGTCAAGACCAGAAACACCCAGCGTTAGCTTCCCAGAGTTGTTTGGCTTGGATGATATTCTGTTCTTAGGCTGTCTTCCTAACCCTAATTGCTGGATCCCACAAAAGAGATCCTTTTGAGTGCCCTAAATTGGTGGGGACAGGCAGTACAGTGCTTGCAGTGAACCAAAGGCCAAAACTGAACAACAGGGAAGAAGGGAAAGAAGTAGTGGCTAGGAGCCCTGAGAAATACAGACTGAAGCAGTGTGGAAGCCAGGGAGACCCAACTCAGAAGAGCCCTCAGAGAAGGAGCAGGGACAGACCCTCCCCTAAGTGACACAAAGCAACTGAGCAATCCAAAGGCACAGGAGCAGAACACTGCTTACACCTGGTGCTGCAGCCAGACACACAGGCCTTTCAGGAGCATTGCCTCCAAGGCCTGGCTTTGCCCTCACCTCTGCACTTTGCTCTTCAGATGAATCGTCATACTCATGTTTGCCCTCTTGACTGCCATACTCTCGGGGGTATGAGCGGTAGTCCATGTCTCTATAATCATGGTCCCGGCTGCGGTTCTCTCCATCATCCTGTGAGCGATCAGTGGCTCCATAGCGGCCAGTCCTGTCACCACGACCACCTCTAGGAAAAGAAGGATAGGGATTAGAAGACCATTCTTCCCCAAAGGCTCAAGATGGGAGAGTTATCCCACAACTCTCTCTCTAGAACCTCAGTCCCACTCCCCAGAAAAGGGCTCTGAAAACCTCACTCCACTGCATGGACTAACTACTACATGCTCTTAAAGCCAACACACTTATCTTCATCCCTTCCTCACCTCTGGCCCACATGTATCTCAAGTTTTCTGAATGGATTCCTCACCTCTATATAGGCTTCTCCCAGTTCTGTCTCTGTACCCAAAATCCCAAAGATGAGTACTCTCTAAAGTAAAGTCAATCAACCCAACCATGTCATTCAATTTAGTGATTTCTTCTAAACAAACAGATAAAACACCCAAATTTTCATCAAGATCTCACCCAGCCTACAAGGTAAGGTTTCTGCAGACCTATCCCTGTATGCTCTATGCATGCCACTCTACCCACTTCACAGCCATCTTGCTAGAACTGGCAGGTCTTCAGTTAAAATTTCTCCAACTGTGAGGATCTTGTAGAGGACCTGAGTTCCTGGTACCCAGATTGGACAGCCTATAACCCCAGCTCCACTGTCCTCTTCTGGCCTCTGATGGCATATGAATTCATATGTGCATACTCCCACACAGACACATACACATAATTAAAAATAAAAAATTTTCTCCAATTATAGTTAACTGTAAAATAATTATCTCAAAGTTTATTTAATTTGTCAATCTTTGATGAGTTAAGAGATTACTACAGGGACTATAGGTATAGCTCAGTGGTAGAGTGTTTGCCTAATATATGAAAATTGATGACTTCCATCTCAGACATTGGGGAAAATTACTAGGGGTAGTCCTAGCTGCTCAAGACCCTGAGGCAGGCTTGAGCCTAGGAGTTCAGGGTTAGCCTAGGCAACATAGCAAGCCCCCACACACATCTAAAAACATTGGTTGTAGATGTAGTTCAGTAGTGCACAGGCCCAGCATGCAGATGGCCCTAGGTTCTATTTCCCACGTCACAAAAAGTTAAATTACTTAATGGTGAGTTCTAGGAAATGATGGCCCATGCCTGCTGAGTCCTTATTCCTATCTTATTCCTTAATACAGTGTATAGGACTTAGTGGGTGATAACAATCAAGTATCTTATGGCAGGTATACCTATAATCCCAGCACTTGAGAAGTGGGGGCAGGAAGATCAGGAGTTCAAGGTTAGCCAAGGTACAAAATGAGTTTAAGGTTACATGAGACCCTGTCCTTAAAAAAAGAAAAAGTATTTTAAAAAGAATCAACCCACCGGGCAGTGGTGGTGCATGCCTTTAATCCCAGCACTCGGGAGGCAGAGGCAGGTGGATCTCTATGAGTTCGAGGCCAGCCTGGTATACACAGCGAGATTCAGGACAGGCACCAAAACTACACAGAGAAACCCTGTCTCGAAAAAAACCAAAACAAAAAAAAGAATCAAAACATGTTTATTTAAAAAGAAAATATACTGCTATGGCTGTTTAGCTTAGTGGTAGACCACCCACAAGACCCTGGATTTAATACCCAGCATTGAAGAAGAAAATAAAGGTGTAAAAAAGAACACGGTCAAGCAAGAACCAGACCCCACAGAAGAATGCAACAAGATTCCATTTATGAGCAGTAACAATACTAGAATGCCCATTATTGACACCACTTTTTTTTTCTTTTTTCTTTTTTTTGTTTTTCGAGACAGGGCTTATTTGTGTAGTTTTGGTGCCTGTCCTGGATCTCACTCTGTAGACCAGGCTGGCCTCGAACTCACAGAGATCCACCTGGCTCTGCCTCCCGAGTGCTGGGATTAAAGGTGTGCGCCACCACCGCCTGGCCAACACTACTCTTAAAACTACATTATTCTAGCCGGGCGGTGGTGGCGCACACCTTTAATCCCAGCACTCGGGAGGCAGAGCCAGGTGGATCTCTGTGAGTTCGAGGCCAGCCTGGTCTACAGAGTGAGATCCAGGAAAGGCGCAAAAAAGCTACACAGAGAAACCCTGTCTCAAAAAACCAAAAAAAAAAAAAACACTACATTATTCTAATGATACTAGTGAAAGCAAATAAATAAGGAAAGGAAGAAAAGGCATTAAGAACTGTAAAGGTAAAAGAATCACCATTATTTGCAGCTGATAGGAGAATAGCCCTGCAAAGCCTAAATGAATCACACAAAAAAAGATTACAAGTAATTTATCAGGAGCTGCAATTATAGTCCAACAACACCACATTTTGAGTTCTATCTTCAGCACCTCCAAAACAATAACAACAGTGATGACGATAATGAAAATCAGGGGCTGGAGGGATGGCTCAAAGATTGAAGAAAGTTTGGTTCTCTGTATCCAAGTTGGGCAGCTCACACCCATAAGTAACTCTAGCTTCAGGGGATCCAATGCCCACTTCTGGCTCTTGAGCACACTTTTTTTTTGTTTTTTTTTTTTTTGAGACAGGGTTTCTCTGTGTAGCTTTGCGCCTTTCCTGGGACTCACTTGGTAGCCCAGGCTGGCCTCGAATTCACAGAGATCCGCCTGGCTCTGCCTCCCAAGTGCTGGGATTAAAGGCGTGTGCCACCACCGCCCGGCTATTGAGCACACTTGTAAACACACACACACACACACACATACACACACACACACACACAAATAATAAATTTATTAGTGTTTCTGGCTATAAAATTAATATGCAATTACATATTTTACTTAAATTCAGATAACCATTGTTTAAAAAACAGGAAGATATTACCTACGATTGCATCTAAAGGTTAAATATTGGGCTGGAGAGATGGCTCAGCGGTTAAGAGCACTGGTTGCTCTTCCAAAGGACCCTGGTTTGATTCCCAGCACCCATGTGGCTCACAACAGGCTGTAACTTAAACTCCTTGGGATCTTAATGCATATACACATATATACATGCAAACATACACACATAAATGAAAATAAATCTTGTAAACAAATACATGATTAAATATCTATGTATGTGTAAGATCTTATGACTATTCTTCACATATATGAAAATTTACTTGTGTATTTATTTACTTTTTCTTTTGTTTGGTTTGGTTTTTTGAGACAGGCTTTCTCTGTGTAGCCCTGGCTGTCCTGGAACTCAATCTGTAGACCAGACAGCCTGGCCTTGAACTCAGAGATCAGCCTGCCTCTGCCTCCTGAGTGCTGGGGTTAAAGGCATGAGCCACCACTACAGGGTTTTTGGTATTTATCTCAGGTTGACCTTGAACTCACTAGGTAGCCAAGACTAGCTTGGAACTCATGGTCCTCCTTTCTAAGCCTCTTAAATGCTGAAATTACAGGCATGGACCACCATGCCAGCTTCAATAAAAAATGTAAACGGAAGAAATTAAACTATAATAGAAAAAGGGGGAAAGGGGACCAGGTGTAGTGTCACATGCCTACAATCCCAGCCCTCAGGAAGTTAACAAAGGAGAATCTAAATTTTGATGCCAACTTGGGCTATGTGAAAAAAAAGGGGGTGGGGTGGAAGAGGGACTTAGAGACATGGCTTAGCAGGTAATGGTGCTTAGTGTCCAACAATGCAAGCTTGAAAATGAGTTTGATTCCTAGAACCTACACGAAGGTGAAAGGACAGAACCAACTCACAAACTTGTCCTCTGACAACCATACTCACACCGAATAATATAAAAACAAACAAACAAATAGGTGGGGAATATAGCTCTATGTTAATTCACTTCTGTGCCATGCACAAAGCCTTAGCTACAAATCAGAAAAAGAAAAAAGTAAATTAGAAAAAATATTCATAATCTTTTATATGCTCTACTCACTGAGCCAAATCCCTTAGACCTATACCTTTAAATGGGAAAAATTAATAACCCAAACCCCAAGGCATAGAAAAAAAAATCATTCAATTGAACTATATAAAAATAAAATACTGCCGGGAGGTGCCTTTAACCCCAGCACTCGAGAGACAGAGCCAGGCAGATCTTTGAGTTTGAGGCCAGCTGGTCTACAAAGCAAGTTTCAGGATAGGCTCCAAAGCTACATAGAGAAACCCTGTCTTGGAAAAACAAACAAACAAACAAACAAAAATACTTAAGCTTGGAAAAATCCAGAGACCCACAAACAATCACGAGTCATATTAAAAGATAAACAATACAAGGAGCTAGAGGTACAGCTCTATGGTGACTAGCACACACAAAGGCCTAGGCTCTGTACAGTACTGAAGATAAAGAAAATGAACTAGTGCAAGCAAGCAAATCGGGAGTGGCAGTGTATGCTGTAATCTCAGGACTCAGGAGGCTGAGGAAGGAAGATAGAAATGTTGAGGCCATTTTGAGATACAGAGGGAAACCATGAATCAAACAACAAAAAAATCCAAACAAGTAAATTCAAAAGAAGAAAACAGCACCAGTGATTAACACCTAATTAACAGTAACAGCAGCACTCAAGGAAGCTAAGACAGGAGGATCACAAATTCAAGGCAAGCTCAGACAATTCAGTAACAAAACGTCTGGGGACTCAGGGGCTGAAATATATCCTGAGCCCTTACCCACTGCTGAGTTGGGATGTTTTGTTTTCTTGCTATAAAAGCTCTTCACACGTTCTAGATAGGAATCCCTTACCAGATGCATGATCTGTAGATATGTTCTCCCATTCTGTGGGGTTTATTTTCATCTTGATAGTGTCCATTGATCTGAAAGTTTCTAATCTTGACAAAGTCAAACTTATTTTGAAATATTTTTTTGATTTACAAGAGTTCAAAGATAACACTTGTGTACCCTCTGCCTAGCTTCCCCTAATACTTAGAGAACTTAAGTCAACTAAACAATAGACTATTAGGATTCCACCAATTTTCTCACACCAGTCTGTCTCTTTGTAAAATTTATTTTTAGTTTTTCAGTGTATGTTCATGCATGTGTACATGTGAGTGCAGTTGCCAGTGGAGGCCAGAGTGTCAGATTTCCCTGCAGTTGGAGTTAAAGGTGGTTGTGAGCCACCCAACATGGGTGCTAGGGTACTGAACTCAGGTTCTC